TTCTCTAGGCAATGGAACATAAAGCAGTAGGAAAGGCCAGAGAAAAAGTCTTCAGGAAAGACAATTTTTAATTATTTTCAAGAAAGAGTAGGGAGATAGTTCTGTCAACAATTAACTAAACAGATTCAGTATTGAGACAAAGCATGATGAAATAGTATATGTAAGTCCAGAAAATGGTACTTACTGATGGGTCAGCCATAATAGATAAAAGACAATACTATAATTATTCTTGACAATATTATTATCTTGCTATTTGCATTAGTCAAAAAATTCTGAAAAGAAGGTGTTAAAATAATTTATACCCTTACAAAACACTCATATAAGGAATCACAACTCCTTATTGTTTTAACAATTTTTATTTCTTATCATTTGTATGAGAGTTTTGTTTGCACAGATGTCAGTGCATTGTGTATATGTACTTGGTGCATGCAGAGGTCAGAAGTAGGCACTAGATTTCTTGGAACTGGTGTTATAGTTTCTATCTACCATGTGAATGCTGGCTACTAATCCCTGGTAGAATAGAAAGTTCTCTAACCATTGAGTCATAGCTCTAGCCCAAGAAATCACATTTATTTAAAGTCAGAATGTATATATATATATATTCAGTTGTATTAAAAAATCCTGAAAAATTAATGGTTCCAAATGAACACTGAGAAATTGTATTCTGAAACCATTGAGGTTTTCTTCTGTAGAGAACTTGTTATTATTTATAAGAATTCACATATTTTCCAGTATTAGTGAACATATTAATCAGACTATCATTTTTGTACAAAGAGAAAAAATACCAATTCCAATTATATTATAAGTCCGTTCCCTTTAACATCACTGTAATTCAACCCTGTGAAATTATATCTATCTATAAGTCTCGCATAATAGAATATAAACATTTGAGCAAAAGTGATTGTTTTTATAATCTCAAATGCACAGGAGGCACCTTGGCTTGGATGTGTAATAGACTCTCAACAAACCTTTGCAATGTATATCTGTGGAGACTGAGAACTTTACAATCTGATATAACTAAAGAACCAGAAGATGATTGCAAAAGGAATTTTTTTACTGTTATCTTTTCAAGTAAAATAAGGAAAAGTTAAAACAATATTTTATTGAAAGCTACTTATCTGTTTCTGATGTCACCTATGTCTTAATTCTTACAGTTTAGTATACATACACAATGCACATGCATCCCTAAAGAAACAAACTTACCTGAGAGAATGAGGCATTTCAACAGAATTGAGTGTCAATTTCCTAATGAGAGATTAGGCAATAGCATACAGCAACTAAGACTAGTTCCAGATTCTTCGCATACTCAGGACAAAGAAAACAACTTTGCTCCAAAAAAAATAACGTTTTCTAGGCAGTAAGCCACTTTTCATACTAAGTTTATCATCCTAGAAACATCTTAACATGAAAGACACAAATGAATATTCTTTAAAAAAATCTCATCAAAGACTTAGCAGCAAAAACAAATCCTTTCTTCAGGATATTTTTCTTGCTTTCTATTTTCCAATTTCAAAGTTGACATAAAAACTATAAGCTTTTGGGCTTTATGTGCAACTTCATATATATTTGAGTGGGCATCCGTGTAATAATGAAGGCTTCTTATCTCCAGATGTACTCAGAGAGTCAATTTAATGTAAAAAGAAAATCTGAAATTTTCTGGACATGTAACAAAATATGAGAACATATGAAAAAATTAGATTTTAGGAATAAAATATCACAAACTATTGTTCAATTCCAAGAAATCTGAATTAAGAAGAAGTCAAATAAAATAATTGCTTTTGAGTAGTCAGTTTTACTTTGGTTTTAATGTACATTTTAATTATTATTTGAGATTTTTATTAGACTAAACATGGGCCAGAGTCAATTTTCAGAATTCAGGCCCTTATGTTCTTAAAAGGTAAGTTTAAGAGAAAAAAAGGGGGGCTAGCTTAAAGAAAAACAAAAAAACAAAACACAAGATAGCAGTGTGGAGTTCTGTCTCCCAGTTAAGTAAAGTAGAGACTTGTGAAAATTTTCACAAAATCCACAGATTAAACAATTTTATTTTTGAAACAATAAGTATAAGAGAAAAAAACATATCATGCTATAAATAGCATATGAATGTTCAATTCTGTTAGAGAAGAAAGAAAGAGATTAAAGAACAGTTACAGTTTGCTTACGTTCTAGAGAGCTTACATTATAATCTTCCTGAGATAATCAGTCATAGTTTTCTGAGAGTATGTCAGTTCTTTTGTAATGTTATGGGGACATGCACACAGTATTGAGAAAGAATACAGTAAAAAGAAATGTATATGCCTTGATGAAAAAGCCCAATGGAAAAATGGACAACTTTAAGGACATGATTGTTTTCAACTTCATTTAAAACAAACAAACAAACAAAAACTACTACGACAACAAAAACTTATTTCAAGATTAACACAATTAAAGGTTTTCTAAAACCTCATATAATTAGAGAGAATCTAAAAGATGTACGCATACCTATCCATCAAAAATATAAAGGAGTTATAGGAGTTATGAAGTCCTATGCTTTACTTCCTTTTATCTTGAACGTTTACTAGAAAAAAATGGGTGACATTTTCTTGCAATAGTCTAATCTTAAAATATTCAATGTGACATACTCTAAATATATTTTTCTGTCCCATGCAAACAATTACAAAATGTCATTGTTACAAGTACAATTCCTGTTAAGTTTATATATTGATCTAAATTATCATTTTGCATATAAATAGTATCAATATTTTGTGACATATTAAAATGAGATTTCTTTGTGCCATTGATAAATCAAATTATGTTCAGTAATCAGAAATGTTGGCAAAGATGTACACCTGAGACCTCTGGTTATATCGTCTTATTTAAGCAGTTAAACAATAAAACCGAGAGTTCAAAGTGAAAGGGAAATTACGACAAGCTTAAGAAAGTATACATGCTTATCAGTTATGTTTGTTTTGTTACAGAGAGGGAATTTGTTGGCTGCTTTTGTGTTCATTTGATATAGAATGGAGACATCTGAAAGAAGGAAACCTCAATTGAAAAAAATATGTCACAATTCCATCTGATTCTTGGGCAGTGTCTTAGAGATTGATTGGGGAGAACTCAGCACATTGCGAACACTGAAAACCTGAGTGGTCCTGAGTTCTATCAAAACAAGCAAGATGAGCAAGCATGGTGAGCAAACAGCACCACTCCATAGTTCATCAGTTCCTACCTCCATGTCCCTGCCCTGTTTGAGTTGTTGATCTGAGTTCCTTCCAGGATGACTTATGATGTGGAAGTGTAAGCTAAATAAACCCTTTTCTCCCACCTTACTTTGGTCAGGGTGTTTAATCACAGAGATAGTCACCCTAACTAAGATTGAGAAAACAAATGTAATTTAACATTCTCCAGAGTATCCATGATAGTTTTCAATATTTTCCAGAACCCTAAAATAATTTCCTAAATGTGTGCAAAGTGTTGGCTTAATTTTTTCATTGAGTCTCCTTGGAGTTAATTTAGGGAAACCTAGGTATTACAGGAAGACAATACTTATATACAAACAAAACTGTGAGATTCAAAACCTTTAACAAGATACGAAAAGCCTTTCAAAGGCCACATCTCTTAGATCTCAGGTAGATAGAAAGATGTGTATGAGCATAAATTAATCTTTCAATAGAAAACAAAATCCAAACACTGAAGTTATTTCTGTCAAACAACCAAACGCCCAATACCCCTTTAAATTAAAGAATGCAAAATACATAAAACTTTCATGGACACAAATATTGCTAAGATAATGTTAGAACCTATATTCACTTCTTGATAAATTTGCTATTCTTTTGGTTGTAAGTGTGTTTGTTTGCTTTTTTTTCTTTCCATTTTTAATTTTTTTGGAAGGGTTAATGATGTCTTCTGATCCTGCAGAAGCAGGACTGTTGGCTCACACTCTCTGTTACTTCAGTTCATAGAGAAGGAAAAGGAGACAGGAGAGAGCAGGTGCCCTGGACACCTTTGGTATAATGTTCCTCAAAAGAACATGAGCTATGTCTCAGGTATAAAGTCCAAAAACGAGTAGGTACTCTTTCCAAATCAATATTAAGTAATCAATTGCTGTGAATGCTTTACAGAAAACTGAGGATAAACTGCTTTTATGAATTTTTTGAACCTTATATTAAATATTCCCATGTTGTCAACCTCAATTGTTTCTGTTAGAGACTTTTATCCAGTTTTGCATAATTACACCACATTATATTCCTAAACAAGCAGCCCTCCTTAGTTAATATCCCTAATCATTGTTTCAATTACAAAAATGAAAATACATTTACTATAGGAAAACAATGAATGACTTCTCTGTTCATCCAATATACTTTTAGGAAGGTTTATTATAATGAGTTTATTTGTCATAAAGCATCTGAATAATGTCTTCTCTAGGTCTATCTCACATTTTCAAACTGGAAAAGGTCAGTATGCAATACATAGGATTTTGTTATTAGTCTACTTAGCATTCAGTAGAAATCATATTCAGTAAGTGTGCATGACAATTGATGTCTTTGTGTTGAAATCACCCAGAAATTGAAATTAAAAAAGTCATCCCAAAGTTTGCTTGCTTCCTATATTTTTGTTTTACTCCAGAATGCCTGCCAGACCCAAATGGTAAACCCTGCTTCTCAAATGACTTAGCAGACAGCTTCCAAAACTGAATCAGGCAATGATAAATTATTTTGAGACAGAAAATATGCAGAATTAGAAATACATTGTATTAGAAAAAGCTATATGGCTCTATTAATAACAGAGTATCATGTTAGTACTATTCTTGTGCAGAGCAGAGAGGATGTTAGGAAGGTGAGAAATTATCTGATAACAACTACCAGCAATGCAGACAAGATAACACTTAAGAACTAAGGCACACATAGACATTATCTACTGGCATGCTGCTTCTTTGATTTGTTTTAGGATGTGCTTAACAGCCTCATAGTTGGATCAAGGGGAGGAAGGGAGCAGTTGCAAAGGTTCAGAAACTCTTTCTGTCCTTACCTGCCACTGAGCAGAAAGCCGATCATCACCGCCAACAAGATGACTCCCACTGTCACTGACACTGCAATGATGGGGATCTGGCTTTGATCATTAGATGCTGCAACTGCTGATAGGAGAGAGACAGAGAGAAAGGAACTTGTAGTTAAAGGGACCACAAGCATTCAAAATGTGAGCTGCTTCACAGTAGGTAATTGATTTGTGGTTTAAACAATTCACACAAACCCGGCTAAGGCTCCCTCGTAATATCTGTTCTCAAAGGGCATCTGAAGGAGGAAATATTTACTCACCACATATAAATCACGAGCCTCACGAGACACTGATTATTTCTGCCTATCATAAAAATAGAGTGCAGATTTCACAGCACCAGGGTCCTACATTTTACAAGGTAAGGGGGAATACTGTCCATGACTTCAAACACAGTCATGTATATATGAAAGTGTTGAGCATTCAAGATTTGACATTTTTAGAGTTTACAGCTGTTGTTCTCTAGCAAAAATATGTTAGCTCAGGAGTTCTTTCCTATAGACAGAGTGTCTAAAATAATGGGGCTTTGACCTTGCTGAAGTAAAGTACAATAAAAATGTTCTAAATATAGCTTAACAGTGAAACGCCATGTAGAGCATAATGAGTTATTGTATTTTATAAGTAGGATCACTGAAAGTTATCAAAGTACAAATTTAAAGCTTTATGAATAGATTAGACAAATTTGCAATGCTTGTTTTATTATATATTTTGTACATATGTATATAGGGCCTTCTAATTCCATCAATACAATTCTTACAATATAAATATAAAATGTTTAGGAAGTTGTGTCTAAATAAGTATGATAATTTCTCTCTGTGCTGATAACTATTCAAGTATAAGAAACACATGCAGTAAATCAAATTTCCTTTGGGCTTTCATGCCCTCTGAAGAGGGTACTTTATGTGTGTTTTGTCAGTGACAGAATCATTTCTGAAGTTTCAGAGAAGTGCTTGTACAACTTCACAATGTCAAGTATACGGATTTCAAAGGCTAATACCGTGTAAATTTTCTGTATGATTTTTACCACCTCTTTGCCAGATCTTGGTCTATGTAATTTATAACTTCACATCTCTCTTACAAGGAATACAAGCAAGTTTATTTGTAGTATAAAAATCTATCTTCTTACTTTCCCTTTTCTTGTCCTTTCTAAAACATACTTATTTTGATTTTATGCTTGTAGGTGCTCTTTTTGCACAGGTGTCAGTGTAACCCATCAGAAGCCATTACCCTCTGAGGCCAGAAGAGGCCATTGGATCTCCTAGAGTTAGACATAGTTGTGAGCCTTCTTGAGGATGGATGAATTTGCGTGGAAAAAGTCAGAAATGGATTTGGTAAAAAGACATTGTACACTTGTATAAAATTTTCAAACCGTAAGAAAAATATTTTTAAAATCTTGGTACAGCATTAAACACTTTCTATGTTATTTCAAGTAGGATACAACTCCAACTTGAATTCGTCTATTTCTTTCATTTATTTTGAAACAAAATTATCCCTATAATGAGTCTTGGTCACAAATTCTGGGCATTGAGCATCACATTTTAGAAACGTCAACCCTTCTAGCAAAACTAGACTAGTTAAGTTTGACCCTGTGGTCCAGCATTAAGTACGCAGTCTCTCCTATTTTTCTTTTTAAACCTCATGTCATTATAAAAACCACTCTTTTTCCATTACAGATTTTGCTCTTTCCAAGACCTACTGCAATATCTTAACTATTAACCTGCTTAGGGAAGTATGCTTGGTTTTTAGTTCCTATTTATTTTCTTCTGTTTTATTTATCTTCTTATTCCTATTTGCTGGCATCCTGAGTGAGTTATATGAATAAAGCCTCATCCACTGAAAAAGTCTATAATGCTCTCTCTTTCTGAAAACTTTCTTCTGCTTCTGAGCCTATACATGATGTCTATGAATTTGATGAGTACATCATTTACATATCTGCACTATGATAAATAATTTCTTCATTTGGAACATGTAGCTCAGAATTTAAACTATCTCTTGCCGTGGGTTGGGTAACCAAAATGGATAATTTCTTTTCTGATATTTCCAGAGTTCTGTGTTATCATACCATGTTCTCTACACAAATATTTTTGGGTTTGAATTTGATGAATTCAATGTCCCCTTCCTCCTACCTCCTTTTTCTTCATTTCTTTGCCTCCCTTTCCTTTTTCCTATTTTCTCCACTTGACCTCCAATAGATAAAGTTCTGTTTATAACATCAGTTAACAATTATCAATCATAAGGCCAAATTTTTGTTTCCAATAATCATATATTTCCAAAGATTAAGTCAGTTTTTTGCTCAGTAAATATTTCCTTTTGTGTGGATTATATTTTCACAGAAAATGAATATCTTTAAAATGGATGCCTACATTTCTACCCGCATAGGTGAAGAAAAGGCACGAACAAATATGCCATAAATCAAAACACCATGCTAAACTGTTTCTATCATCCTAGTTTCTACTCACTATTACTTAATATTTCTCAAGAACTATTTGTCTATCAGTTAATAAATATATTTATAAATTTTATTCTACCTTCATCATATATTTATATCCAGTTAGCATTTTGACTCAAACTAGTGTGATAGGAATATCCGACTATTGTTCCCAAAGCATTGAGAGCTGATTAGATTTTATGTATTCTTATTAAACATAAAAATACTACTTTAAAAACATTTCCTTCATTAAAAACATGCCATATACCCAGATTCCTAGTTCACCATTCAAAGATCTTGCCATCTGACTCTGTAAATATTTCTGGTAGAAATGGGCCAATTCGGTAACTCTCAATTACATGGATTTAAAGAAAATTAGTAGTTTGTAGTCAGAAGTGAATATGCATTGATTTTGTCCAAATACAGTAGTGTGTGCCTATGAATGAGCATAGAAGTTAGAACAAAACAGAACAAGAGGATAGCTGTGGTGGTTTGAATGAGAATAGTTCCACTAAGCCAATATGTTTGATTGCTTGGTTACCAGTTGGTGAAACTGTAGAGGGCTTTTTTGGGGCTGCTTCCAGATACTTGGTGGGAATTTAATTTCAGGCCAAGACAAAGAAATAAGTTAAAGGCCAGAGTCTGACTTTGGGCTAGGACTCAGGAAATAGGCTCAGATTAAGAACATTTACATTTCAGTTAATGCAAAGCTCAGAGCATGCTCAGATAAGTCAAATTCCTCACTACGTGGCTATTTGTACCAATATTATTTGTGTATCTGCTAACTCCTTCTCCTCCCCCTCCCACTTGTGTGTGTGTGTGTGTGTGTTTGTGTCTCACCAGAGAAATAGGCTCAGTAAAAATCAAAACATAGAACAAAATTAAAAATCATTATGAAGTATATGAAAACTATAATATGGCTCCTCTAAAATTTTGACCTGAAGAAACATTAGAAAGGGAAGACATGTATTGTGGGTTAAATGAGAATGTCGCCAGTAGACTTGGATGTATCAGCACGTGGTCCACAATTGGTAGAGCTATTTGTGGGGACTTAGGAGATGCAGATTTTTCAGGATGTTTGTCATCAGGAGTAGGTTTGAGAGTTAAAAACTTATATCACTTCCAGTTTGTTATTTCATGCTTGAAGTTTGGTGTGCCCTCAGCTTCCTTCCACTATCATCCTGGCTTGCTTCATGGCTCTCTGCCATGATGGACTATTACTCTCTGAGTTCAAATAAATGCCATCTTCTCTAGATTGCTTGGGTCATGGTATTTTATCACAGCAACAGAAAAGTAACTAAAGCAAAAATATTAACGGATTTCAATTATCACTGACACATGAAGAGTTGTTCCTTAATCTGGGTGTTAGGTCAGGAAGGGAAACAAAGGGTATCATCAGGATGATGCATTCTGTATCAGCTTGAAAGGTTGATGAATCTAGAGAATCGATGAAATTATAAATTATACACAACTTCTAAACACTTCTTTACAAAGGAGTTAAAAGTATGAAATCAAAATCTCTGGAATTTTTCATTATTAATACCTGGCTCTTGTACTTTAGTTTTCTAAAATGCCATCCCTTAGAGAACCTAAGTACATTGTTTCTCATTCTTATGAAGCTGTATCCAAAAACTGACTTTACATGAAGCTTAAAAGATAATATGCAATCCACAGTGTGTATAAATACTTGCAAATATGTATATACAGATCCAAATAAAAGTGATTTCTAACTATAGGTAATAAACTTCAGAGAGTACAGCCTATAACAATCAAAGAATAAGAGGTCATCAACTGGACAATGGGGGAGGGGCACATGAGATATATTAAAAGGAGAGTGGCTGAGAGGGGATACCAAAAAATTACCATTTAATAAATGTAAAGAACGAAATATTGAATCCCTAAAGAAAAACTAGTGCTTGAACATGTGTCAATCAAAATCATAGTTGAGATTTTTTTAATCTCTGTAATTTTACATCATCTAATTCTACCTTGAATATATAAGTATAATATATACATATATATGTATGTGTATAATATATATATACACATATATATACATTATATATATGTATGTATATATTATTATATAATGTTTTACAATGTATTATATAATGTTTTAGATACTTTGTTCCTAGATTTTTAGGTTATTTCAATATTCAACACTAGTAGAATATACATAAAACTAAGATTATTATAATCAATCATTTTCATAACTTATCTTTTACAAAAAATTTTGAAATTAAATAATTTTTTTCATATTCCATAAAATTTTCTCTGTAATATACACTATTAAGTTTATTTAATAGTTTTTGGAAAAATTAAGCATTTTAATCCAGTTTCTCTAGTTTTAATTAAATTCAAGCACACAATTTTCTTTATATAGAAAAGAAATACATAATTTCTACCAATAAGATCTTTTATTTTATAATATCTAGTGGCATAGCATTAGAGAACCTGTTCATCACTTAATAAAAGTTATTTGTAAATCAATTACAAAGACTTTAAGCAGAAGCAAATTTTGTTTCTTCCAGGGCAAGATTATATGTAAAGTAAAATTGTATTTTAATAATAATTCCAGTAGTTATAAGATTATTCCAAAAACTACACTCTCATTACCTTCTTTTAACTGTGTTTTTTTTTTTCATTGAAAATTATGGAGCTGGGTGAAGCATACACATAGACATATTTACACAAGTACACAGGAATGCATGTATGCACACACGTACAGATAGCACTAACACATACCCACACATATAACATTTTAGAATCTTCATGTGTGTTTCTTCCTTAACAGAAAACCTTTATTAGCAATTCATTTGTGGATACACAAAGCACTGTTTTGTTCTCTAATTTAGTGTTAATGTGGGTTTTTTAGGACAAGTGATCTAAAATCTTTTGTTGAAGCCTGAGGTTATGTTTTATGAAATTATACAAGAAGTGGTCACCAAAGAGCATTTCAGAACCATTTCCAGATTCACCATTCCAAGATTCTGACATAGATTTAATTTTTACTTTAGGAAATCAGATTGGATCCTGAAAGCACCATTTTCTTGTCAAATTCAATGCTAAGAAAAGCTCCCTGTAGAATTTTCCTAGAAAGACTAAAGTAGCATAGTTCAATAAAGCAAGTAAAAAGTAAATGGCAATAATTCAATAAAGCATGGCACCTGGGGGAACGAAGTCTTTAAAAGCACGGCTTAAACATTTCTTAAGATGCTTGATGTAGCAGCTCCCGGTGGACCAAAGCAAGAAGGCAAGACACACAGTGTTAACCTACAGACCCACCATTATAGCATGGCAGAGGCCTCCTACCTGAAGGGGTCAGGACCGGAGAGACAGAAAGGAAGGAACTGACAGAGAGCCCCGGGAGCTTATCGATCCACGGACTCTCTTCTGGTAACCATCACAGAGACAAGAGCAGACAGTAATTAAAATGACTTACACACAGGTGTGGTTTCAAACTCAAATCTTCGACTGAAGACTCCGTAGCCTGCTGCTGTACGTGCTCGAATTTGGAAGACATACACTGACGCAGGTTTCAGGCCCTCTGCCGTAATAGTGGTCTCTTTAGACTTGATAATTGTGTAGCTGGACTCTTGGTCCTTGAATTGCACATGCAAGACAGGAAAAAAAAGTCAGTCTTCAACACATGAAATACTGACAGCAAAACAGAAAACTCATAAAATACACCAGCAGTCAAAGACTTTCTATTATATAGGCATTGAAAACAAAACCAAAGACCTAGGAAGCAGTTGTGTTGTTTGCAAATAGTTCCCAAAATTAAAAATGTTGATGATATTGCATTTCCTGATCTATCATACATGCCTTGGCAATCATAAATTTATAACATTTAATAATATTACAAGTGTGTTTGGAGAAATGGTTCAGCTGTTAATGGCATCTCTGGCCTTCAGAAGACTCAGTGTTCAGTTGACATATAACCACCTGTAACTCTGATGCCCTTTTGTTAAGTCTTGAAGCTCTAGCAGTCCCATGGCACACATGTGAATATACCCAGGCATATACTAGACACACACTCAGACACACTGCACACACACACACACACACACACACACACACACACACAAATAAATGAATCTTTAAAAACATTGCAGAAGACCTTTGCTGAGCTGATTGCATTTTTCTAAGACTATGTGCTTGATCCTATAATGATGCCTTATTGTAATACGTGTAACAAATTTGCTCATCTTACATAATGTTGGAATTATCTCCTGTGCATTCGTGTTAGACGTAAGCTTTAAACCTACAAATTAGATTTTTAGTTATATTTCAGGCTTGTGAGATGAAATAAGTACTTCCAACACACTTGAATTTTGATTGATTTAATCTAAGCAGGGAGGAGTAAAGAAAATCTCAAGAATACAGGACCTTTTCTTTTTTCATTTTATAAAATGTCCTGTTGTAGGAAAATCTAGTAACCTAGTGGTTAGAAATAGAATAGAAAAAAATCTAAAGCAAATTATAAAAAATATGTTCCTATTGGAGAGACAACAGAAGTCCTCACCAACCTTGTGGCTTCTCTGTGTCTTAGGAAGACTGGCAGCAGTAACCATGACACTGATCACAAGCTGACATGCTGTTACAGTAGGGTCACTTTTACTTTGAAATAGGACCTGTTGCCTGACTGTGTTCATCAGAATATGGTAATAATGGAACAAGCAGCAAGCATGAAGACAGGTTATGGATTAATATACATGATCCAATAGATGCTCAACTCATTCACATTCTATGCAATCAAGGTAACTTCTACCCACTCACTGTTTCACCATCAATACTACATAAAACATAAACCTGTGAGCACATTTCCCTTAAAGCCGCTAATCAGTTCTCATTCATATACCTCATCTTGGCAAATTATCATGGACCTAGTTATATCCAAATTCACATTTAAATAGGGATTTTCTAGTTTCTAATAGGAATAGGTTTTCTGATTCTTTCTGGTTGGGTGTTGATCTTTTGTTTTGAATGCACATATTAAAGGTTTAATCTGTAAAATATTGAGAAAATCCAGCTAGTATTTTTATAAAGGAACTAAAGTGCATAATCAAATGCCATAAATTGAGCCTTAAGTACCAATTCCTTTACCCATGAACCCTTCTTCTGCTATTATCTATTGTGAAGGCACTAGCAGAATAACGGTGAAAATCTGTCATTGCTTGAGGTGTTTTAAATATTGTAAACAGCTTTTTATAATCTACTGTAGTTACTGAGAGTTCATAGGATGCTCATGCTTATGACTGAATGAACCCAATTATATTATTCACTGTTTTCAGTTTTGAACCTAAATATCATAAGTTCTCAGTAATAAACTTTCCAGTTTGGCTATGATTGTAGCGATAACTTTGAGTAGAAATTGATTCAATATATGTTTGCTAATATTATTTTCATCCCTTTGAAGGAAGTTTAACTTTGTGAAGAGAAATCTAGCAAAAGGCTACTGTTTACCTTACTATATATTTCCCATGATTTTGAGTTTCTTTTCTTACAAATGTAAAACAATAAAGATTTTAATATAAAATAAGAATGATGTTTTTAACAGAACAGGAATATTGACTTTTGAATTCCAAATATATGAATAACATGTATCTATAAAACTCCAGACTTTAGGGCGTTCTTATTTAAAGCAGAAATGAAAGTCTATCAATAGAGAGGAAAATCATACAATAAATGGATAACTTTGATTACTCAAAAACTTTTATGGTTGAAACTAATATAGAACAACCATAAAATGCATCATGTAAATATACTACACTTTTTTCTTGCAAAATAAAGTCATTACACAAAAACTCAAGGGGTATTTGAAATAATGTGTGATCCAACACCAATTCCACAAAAGATGACATTGTTTGATTTTATGATGAACAAATCTTAGTTGTTCTAAAATCCAATTGCCTTCTGTCTTGATGAGTTAACTCAATACTATACTTAAAAAATAACTTAGTAAGAACTGAATATTATGAAAACCTATTATTATACACTGGTAATAATCTCAGTATTGTGGAAAAAATATTTATTTTCACTTCACTCCCTAAATCACTGTAGAAGGCTAATTTTCATCTTATCAGAAGCTATATATACCTCTTCAGCAACCACAGGCACCTGACTGCCAAATCATTGGCCAGGGTGAGGGTGTTCACTACATTGGTGTCCCAGCTGAGCAAATGAGCTACATTACCCAGCTGCTACATGAACACTGTTCACATGGAGTGAGGGAGGGCCCATCAAAAGAAGCCAGCTGGCAAGCAGCCTGTCAAGGGGCAGCTTCTCCTTTTCTTCTGCCTTTAATTAAGAGATGGCAAAAGGCCCATCACCAGGCCAGAGCAGAGGAGTCCAATGACCTCTATTAAAGCAGGGCAATGGTGGAGAGAAGTGCCAGCTGGCAAGTATATGTGCCCTAGATGGCTATGCCACCTGTGGCTGGCCAAAAGCCATCCAATAAAAGAGTGGTGTCACTCTGAAGTTCCAAAATGAGCTCTGGAAATCAGCCAAAACCCCCACTTCAACATGGTATAAAAGCTCATTATCTCTTCCATTCTTGAGGTGTTAGGAAAATCTTTATGTGTCTATGATAATATTAAATAATTTGATTTGATAAAATTTCAGGAAACTAATAAAATTAACAAATGGAATTTATAACTTACTATATGCATTGTTAATTTTAAGAGTATACAAAGGCAATTTATTAGTAGTAGTGTATTTTATCCTTATTAATTAGCATTTTCCCAAATCAAATCATTTACTCATATATATGAATATATCTATTCATATATATATACATATATATGTATATATATATGTTTATATGTGTGTATCTATGCACATGTCTATGCTATTATGTGTGTACATGTATACACAGGTTCACATTTGCACTTGTGCACATATGTTTGAGGACCAGAAGGCAATTTCTCAGTGGCACCTTCTAAAATGTTGTCTACTTCCACTGAGACAGCCTCTCATTTAATTAAAGCTCAAAATAAGTTAAGCTGATCCTTGTGGATAAAGCACCAGAGTACTTGAATTATAAACATACATCATCACACCTGGAATTGTTTCATAGATTCTCGGTATCATAGTCATGCCTATACACATTTTCAGCAAGTGATTTTCCAACTGAGATTTCTCCAGGCTTCAAATAATTTTTTCTTACTCTCAATTATAGAGGTAAGCAGACATATAAATACACCATTATATGGAAACTATTAAAGAACAGATGATGTTGAAAGTCAGATAAGTAAAAAGAAATTTTATTATGAGAGAACTCATTCCAGAACATGGATGATGTTTTCCAGGAATAGCAACAGAAAGTAACTTTTCCCAAGACACATTTAATATCTATCTTCTAACAGAAGTAGCAGCTTAAAGAGTGAAAGAGGCAGATATTAAATCATGCACATAGGTGGGAAACACATAGATAAAGACACAATCATTAACCAGGGAGGTAGGGAAGTAATTCTAGGTGTTAAGGTATGAAAAGCAACAATATCAACCAACCAGAATCCCCCAGAGCTCCCAGAGTCTAAACAACCAACCAAAGAGTACACATGGAGAGACCCATGGCTCCAGCTTCATATGCAGCAGAGGGTGGCCTTGTTGGACATCAATGTGAGGAGAGGCCCTTGGTCTTGTGAGGCTTGATGTCCCAGTGTAGGGGAATGCCAGGTTGGGGAGGAGGAGTGGATGGATGGGTGGGTGGAGGAACACCCTCCTAGAAGCAAAGGGAGGAGGATGGGATAGGGGGTTTTCAGGGGATGGAAACCAGGAAAGGGGATAACATTTGAAATGTAGATGAAGAAAATACACAATAAAAAAAGAAAAAAGTATAGCAGAAAAGGAAAGCATGAATAATGTTAATTGGTCTACATCATTGGTTGAAAAGAAGAAAAACCATATAAACACCCAAGCATATATTAAATGTTTAGTGTTAATGCTAATAAACTCTATCTCAGTAAAGATAGCGACATATAATCATTTACATAGTTTTTGGTGTAAGGATACCAATGGTTTTCACTGCATACTTTTAACACGTTAAAATCCATTTTAATAAAAATAACATTTGGATATATAACACGTTTATTGTGAAAGTTAGCATACATTTTCTTATGTGCAGTCTACGCATCTTCACATTTTTTTATATTAGTAATGGTTACAAAAACAAATATGAAATGTAATCTTAATTTAGAAATCATTACAAACGCAATGCGTTTATATTCTAGATATCTGGGATTAAAATGCAATATCTCAGACAAATGGGAATCAGTAAGACCACAGTATTCCACCACATCAACTCCAATTTTGTTGATAAACAACTCTATCAGGTATACTGCAAAATAATTTTATCTTAAAGGTTCTCTCTTCAAGTATTTTAGTGCATTCAAAGCTACATTTTTGGCGTGGATAACAAGGCACCCAGGAAGACAGTGGGAGGGGAGAAAAATAAGAATAAATTATAATGAATCATGAATGGAGTTGACTTTCGAATTCCCCTTTTGGAACTGGATTGGCAACCATCTAACTTCTTGTACTCTTTATTAGAGCTCAAATTATTCTAAAGATATCCTGTTAGGTCTAAGCCACACAAAATCATATTTAGATAGCGACTTTAATTATTTCAGCCACATATGCCAGTCTATCAGTAGAAATTACAAACTTACTCTTAGATGCCAACAATTTGATTCTACTTTCAATAGCTTACCTGATTATAAAGTGAAAACAAAGTAAGTGGATACTAACAAGTGTATATGTGTGTGTTTAATGTTTAGGCATAAACTTAAGACACAAGTTATTCAAGGAAGCATAAGAAATGAAAATGGAGAATGTAAACATTTCCAGTACATTTTCCTCAAAATTCAAAATTAAACTTATATAGGGTGTTAGACTGTGTGTGTCTGTATATGTGTGTGTGTCTGTGTGTGTGTGTGTGCATGGACGTGCATGTGCCTGTGTGAATTTCTCATACTTTAACAGAACCGATACCGTGGTGAGTTATTGGCCATAAGTACCAATAGTTTTCCTTGTATACTATTGCTTCTTTCACTACTGAAAATCAACAAGGTAAATGTTTGCCACACTTTCAAAATGTCTTATGATTTATGTGTGTGTGTGTGTGTGTGTATGTTCCATTTTGTATGTTTGCTGTGCATGTGTACGTATGTGGAGAATTGTACACATGTATATGCATGTGGAGGCCAGAGTTTGAGGTAGCCATCCCGATCTTTCTTTCATCTCAATGTGGTAGTCTCACCAACACCTCTAGGGTTGCTTAGCAGTTTATAAGGGATCCATACACACACTTACTGTGCTTCCTTTTGTACAAGTTTCAGGTGGCCTCCACACCTACTTGACATTTATATGGGTTCTGGGAATCAGAAGTCAGTTTTGTACACTTAAGGTGAAAGGATATTTAGCCAATGAGAGGTTCCTCCAGCCCTCAACTTTTTCTTTTAATGTGAAATCCGTTCAGCTGACTATAAAGGCCTATGCACGTGCACCCGCCACAGAATGTGACAAGAAGCGCTCACTGGAGGCGTCAGAAGTGCGACTGAAAAACAAGCTGGTATTGATTTACACATAAAAATACAACCTCCTCTTCTACTAGTCTAGAAGTGAAGTTGTTAAAGCGGAAAGAAAAGAAAAAGATTTCTTATTTTCCTAGTCTCACCTTTTCAAAGTACTTGATTTCATACTCCAAGATGATTCCATTGGGACGATCTGGCTCTTGCCAAGACAAAGAAATGCTGTTCTTTGCAATCTTCCCCTTTTTCACGTTGGTGACTGGAGAAGGAGCTGCAAGATAGCACAAATGAATAATAAATGGTTAATAGGACCCTGAAATTACATCCTACTCTGTGTATCGACTGGTGTGCTAGGGTATATTAATATTACATTATTACATTTCCATTTATTCTTCAAAAATTATTTTTCTGATGAAAGCTGTTAAAGAATATTAATATTTAAGCTGTGGAAAATTAGCAAACACTCCTGATAAACATGTAATATAACTGTAGATGGAGTAGGGTCTTATCTTCACAGTCTCCTAAAATGTAGACAAATAATTTTGCTTTATTCTTTATAGAAGGATAGTTTCTGGTTGATTGCTTTTTTTATTTTTTATTTTTTACAAAAGGTATTTAAAAAATTCTAGTATGCATTAAATACACCGTGTTTGAAAATTGTATACATTCTCTCTCCTGAGTTACTTTTATATAAATAAGCATACTATTTGCTAGATAACATTTTTTTGTTTTGCTAGGTTATGTTTTCAAAAATTACTGATCTTTAATATTCTTTACTTATTATATTAGATGTTAAAACATAAATTATATAAGACATATTTAAGGTATTCTATAAAGCATGTTATATATCAAAATTTAAAAAATAGTAGATTGATTTCTATTTTCCCCATTTATTTCATTACCAATCATTCTTATGGTGTTGTTCATTTATATCTACCAGTATACTTATTAGATAACTACTTCTAGTGAAAATGAAAAAAAGTAGGTATACTTTATCATATATATCTGAATCCATAAGCTCACAAAACATTTAATACTTAGCCAAAACCCCATATTTATCATGTGCTGAGATTCTTTTCAAGATCTTTGGATATGACGAAATAAGAAGTTAATATTTTTTCCCTAATGTAAGTATCAATATTGTTGCTGAGAGAATTTATAGGAGTAAATGAAAAATCCCAGTGGGCTAATGAATAGTGGGCATCTATGTCCTTATATTCTAGAGAATTGGTTCTGGGTCTTGAAGATTAAAATAGTTAGCAAATGTTTCTTTTTTTAACATAAATGGTCTACTACAGTCATGTCCCAAGTATAAACACATTTTGACTTATGATAAAGTAAGTATGATGCTCTTATAATAAATAAATAAATAAATAAATAAATAAATAAATAAATAGATGAGCACATAATAAAATTCCAGTTCTTTTTTGAAAATGACTGATTCAGGGACAGAACTAGTTTGAACTAGGAGCCTCAGGGTCTCTAGTGTGAGAAGACACTAAAGAACTATAAAAATAGTAATCTCAATGAAATAAAATGTTCTCCCAGCTTTTACATTGTTCTGAATGTACTTTTTAGTATTTGTAGTAAGCAGCTAAAAATGCAATTCTGTTCTCTGAATTATCAATTTAAATGCAGAGTATCATTATATTGTTTGCAGCAATATGCCATATAAAATATATGTGTTCAGATATTTGATTAATGGATTTATTCCTGATTCTTTAATCTCTTCATCCTTCATCAAAATTATTCATGGTGTAGATGGTTTCTTAACTCTACATTGAGAGCAACAGGCAATGTTATCCACATTGTTAATGAGAGAAGAGCCCTGGACTACTAAGTATTAAAGGACCTTAGCTTTATTTAGTAAAAACAGAATAATGCCTTGCTTGTGTCTTAAAACAGCATGAACATGGTGGAAGTATGAGTTTTAATTGTGTTGAATAGAATAAAAAACAGCATTCTTCTTATCCTGTAGCTCATGCTGATTATGCAGACAAAATTAATCATAAAAAGCCCTAGACATTGTTTACTAGTTACATGTACACGCAAATGTACACACACACACACACACACACACACACACACACACACACACACGGTTAATGGTGCCAGAAAAATTAATGTAGTCTTAGTTGTGACTATCTCCATGGTGCTGAATGTGATTACCTTTATTTTTTCAACTGTCCTCCAAGAGTTCCTTCCTTGGGTTAGAGAGTTGCCCTCGTTTTTAAGAACACTCATTGCTCCGGAGAGGACCTGACTTCATTCCCAAGACGTGCATGGACATTTAGTGAGCTATTTGAGACTCAATTGATTTTTGGATTGTTCTTTACCGCCCCTAAGTACTTTCATAAAATAAGAGTTGTTCAAAACATTTGAACCATAAACCTATATGAAAATATGCCCTGTAATTTTATATCTGTATGGAAATATATGAAAATATATCATTTTAAAGATGGAAAACATGGGCTTTGGGTACACTGTCTTGATAAGCCTCATAATAAATCTTTCTGTCCTTTTACATACTGAGAAGGAAATAAGAAAAAGAATCAAGCAGATAAGCATTATAAAACATTAAACTAGCATACGGATATCTAAATTCCAAAGTATTACAATAGAGAAAATTTAGAATCCTAATCTAAACCATTTGATTTTATTTACTTACTTTTAAATATTTTATGTTATGAGTGCTTTGCTAGCATATATGTCTTTTGAATAAATATGTACCTCATGACCACATAAGTCAGAAGAGCTAGAGTTTAAGATGGGTATGAGGCACCACATGCATGCTGGAAACTGAACCCTGGTATTCATAGCTGTTGAACATCTTTCCATTTCCTCCATTTGACTTTATCTTGTGTTTACTAAGATGAAATAGCCCCGACTTTAACATTTTGTGCATGTATGCTTCCTTTTCTACTTGACCTAAATTAAATATCATCTCAGTCATTGCATATATGCATTCAGAATTTTTTTAACTTACAATCAAGTTACATTCAGATCAGCCATTCAGAAACCGTAAATATCATAGAACAGTATTCATTCTGTAACTCTGACCTATTGAACAGGTCACCTGACCAACATTGGCCATAGTTTGGCAGTGGTTTTCACCCAAGGTTACCACACTGATTGGTAGCTGTGGTTCATTCCACTGCTGGACCTCTTGAGCCTGAGTGTATATAAACTCTTAGCTTTGCTGAAGATTAAAATTAAAATGTAAACTACGATTTCTGCTGAATGCTGATAATCTTTGTACTGTTATGGTAAAAATAAATTAAAGCAATGAAAGCCATGGAACACACAGTCATACGTTCCCTGCTTTATAAATGGCTTAATTATGGTACATATACTTATTACTCTGGTATGGTTGTTTTAGAATATGCCATCATTTCAGGTAAGGAAAATAGTAAATATGCCCTAAATATGAGAAATACAGTTAATGAATTAAAAAAAAAACATTGAAGAGTGTTAATATGGGAAAGTAACTTAGATATACAGATATATAATGAATTTAGCCAATGGAATATATGTCATATTTGATGGACACATTTTAATTACATATTTCATATATTTAATAAGCCATTTCTATATTATAACTAAATATTATTGAAATAAGAAAAATAATCAGCCCATTCTAAATCTAGTTGATATATGCGATCTCTGCTAAGAAAAAGGAGACTTTAAAGGCTCCTTTTGAAATTCAAATTTAATCTGCTTATTCAGATATAAGCCTACAATCAGTTCATCTTAAAAGTCTGCAAGTAGATCTTTTGATATATGATCCCAATGAAATTTGAAATGACAAATTCACAAAACCTTTCATTAAATTTCACTAGTTCTAGACAAGTCATTCTTTTTAATCAAAAGAAACTAAGAGGCTGAAATACATTACTAGTTATTGCTCATTTTCTCAAAGTTAACAACCATAAAATATGAAAATTAAATATTAGTAAAATGTAATTGGCAAAAATTAATATTTGACATGATTAAAATTAAGGCAAATGCTTGAATTACTATACTGAATTAAGGTTCACATTGATATGAATTAGGATAAAAAGGAAATAATAATATCAAGAATTGTGTCACTGACATTCACAGCCACCATTGTTCAAAACAATCATGCAAATTACACAACAAATATTAAATATAATAAGATATAACTGACAACCTGCCTCTTTTTGAATAACAAGATTAACTCTTCATCAAATAAATTATCATAGAATTTGTTTTCCATTAAAGGCTTGTTACTTAATCATAGAATTTTCAAAACACAAAACAGCCTCACTGTCAGGGGCTATTTAACTTAATTTCCACATTATGTATGAGAAATAGAATATCTTTTAGTCTCTTAAGATAAAGTGAGCTTATGTCTAGCCAATAATATGGCAAGTTATAAAACAGGTTTGCAAAAAATGCAGTTCCAAGTGTAATTTCAAGAATGTTTTGTTAAAATTAAACATTAATCATGGGGCACACCAACTCATAGATGGAAAGTCGGTAATCATATCAAAAATCAATAAAGCCAGAGTCTATGATCTTTAAAAAAGAATCTAGGGGACGGAAAGCGTGGAAGAACACAAGCGCTGACCGTGGATCTGGGGACGTGCACGGAAATGGAAACTGAAAACCAAAAAACTATGGATAGCACCGAAAAGAGAAAAGAAGAAAAAAAGAAGCGATCACGGGTTAAACAGGTGCTTGCAGACATTACTAAGCAGGTGGACTTCTGGTTTGGAGATGCAAACCTTCACAAGGACAGGTTTCTGCGAGAGCAAATTGAAAAATCTAGAGATGGATATGTGGACATTTCTCATCTGGTGTCTTTTAACAAAATGAAGAAGCTGACAACTGATGGGAAGCTAATAGCCAGAGCACTGACAAGCTCATCTGTTGTAGAGTTGAACTTAGAAGGGACCAGAATCAGGAGGAAAAATAAACCCTAGGTGAGAGACCAAAGGACGAGGAAGAGCGCACGGTATACGTGGAGTTGCTCCCCAAAAATGTTACACACAGCTGGATTGAGAGAGTGTTTGGGAAATGCGGCAATGTGGTCTACATAAGTATTCCACATTACAAGCCTACTGGGGATCCGAAGGGATTCGCCTTTGTGGAGTTTGAAACAAAAAAGCAAGCAGCAAAAGCCATTGAGTTTCTGAACAACCCACCAGAAGAAGCACCCAGAAAGCCTGGCATATTCCCCAAGACAGTGAAAAACAAGCCCATCCCTTCCTTACGAGTAGCTGAAGAGAAGAAAAAGAAGAAAAAGAA